ACCCACACCAACACACACACACACACGTGCGCGTGTAAAGCGCCTCTCTCTCTCTCTCTCTCTCTCTCTCTCTCTCTCTCTCTCTCTCTCTCTCTCTCTCTGTGTGTGTGTGTGTGTGTGTGTGTGTGTGTGTGTCGCCTTGTGCTGCTGCGAGTGTACTCCACCTCCTGTCGCGATTCGCTTGGGTCCGTACAGCACTCTCTTGCAAACCCACCCTTCTTCGAATGCGCATGCAGATGTGCTTTCCAAATTTGCCCCCGTCTGTTCAGCATTGCTTTCCGAATCTGTCCATCCGTATAAACACTCACTTTCAGGTTAGGTTCACTGCCGTGCGATACAGCTGTCCCGATCTCTCTCCGTTGATTACTCGGCTTGCATCCGTACGTGACGCCCCTCCCCTCCTGAGCCCTCCGTATCACAAAACGGAGGGGCAGTTAAGAAAATCGGAGGGTAATTAAGAAAATTTGACGGTAGTTACGAAAAACAAGGGAGGGTAGTTACGAAAATCTTAATGGTGATTAATAAAAATTCAGTGTAGTTAAGAAAAACTAAGGGTCCTCGCTTGCCAAATGGGGCGCAATGCACCCCCTACGGGAACCCCTTCCTCTAGCAACCAAGATCCCGACCGACCGCGACTCGTCCATTTCCTCTGCGCCCACACAGAGAGACAGATAGTCTGCCCGAGGGGAAGGGAGAGAGAGAGAGAGAGAGAGAGAGAGAGAGAGAGAACACTCGGCAGGACTACAGAGAGAGGGAGAAGGAACGCGCGAGGGAGAGGGAGAGGGAGAGGGGGAGTAACGACGAGGGCACGGCGAGGGCGCGAGAGAGAACGAGGATTAACCAACGGGCCTACCGGTAGCTCAGTGGGTACACCCCTGAACTGTTGAAATACAGACTCAGGGTCGAATCCAGACCCCTTCATAAAATAGGAAGAGAATAAGACCCTTCTCAATCGCCTGGGGCCTGGCCCAACCAATTCAATTACCGGTCAAATCTGGACAAAACGGCCTTTCAGGCCGTTTCTATTGTCCGTTTTTTTTTCCTTTTTTTTTTCTTTTTTTTCGAGATTTATTGTCATTTTAGTATTGTCTACCGCGTGGGCGCGGGGAAAGCAGCCCTAAGGAAGCCAAATCAATGAGATTAAGAGCTAACACAAAAGAGAGAGAGAGAGAGAGAGAGAGAGAGAGAGTTTTGTTCCATTTATTGTTACGAGTGTGTGAGAGAGAAAGAAATAGAGAGAGGGAGGGGGGGGGCTACCCGAGAGAGAGAGAGAGAGAGAGACAGAGAGAGAGAGAGAGAGAGATTTGTTCCATTTGTTGATACGAGAGAGAGAGAGAGAGAGAGAGAGAGAGAGAGAAAGAGAGAGACTGAATGGCAAAATTGAAATATGGGTCAAATTGCGGCCGCAATCTGTTTCGCAGTTGGAATGATTTTGTTTAATTTATTTAGCGTTTTTCCTGGAAAGATCATAACAAAATCTACGAGTACTTATTCTTTTGAGCACGAAAACTCGCTGAATTCGCAGCCCTTAGGCTGCGGTATAGTGGGCTTCCGCGTCTGTGTCAAGGTGTCGCATTTTTGGTGGCGGGCGACCAGGACGCAAAGTGGGTTCTTAGGGGGCAAAAAAAATTGGGGGACCGGTCCTTGGCAAAATTGCGGACTACCTACAGCTAGCTCTGGTAGAACCGGGACTTTTGGAAAAAGGCAGAACCTGTAGCGGACCTCGGGTTGGCCTGTGAGACCAGCCTCTTGGCTTGTTCTCACAGGCCTGTGTTGTATTCGGGGTAGGCCAGTCCAGGTCGGTACCTCTGTCGGTACCAGCCAGTCCAGTCCAGTCTCGTCAGTCCACTGGGGTATACCCCAGCCATTGTCTGTTTTCAGGCTCATTCTTCACTTGCACATTTTGGAGTACGTGCGTTGGAGTCTTGCATGGGGAGCTGCGTTGTGCCATCTTGCTCCCCCTTCTTCCTCCATCTCCATCTCTGTCACTAGCGGAGCACCACACCTGGTGGGTCCGATACATTGGTATCGGAGCGGGAACGTTCCCCGCTCCCCACCCACCACCACATTCCCCGCTCACAGTTGAGGAAAACAGCAAAACCCGACAACGGGTTTTTTCGCTGTTTTCGGGTGTTTTTCAGTGAAACCGCAGGGGAAAAACGACGCGTGCAGGAGGTGTCACGTGGCGGAAAAGAGAGGCGCCGCGACGAGTGGGCAAGCGCCAAGGCCAAGGCAGCCGCACGCGCACGCACGCCACGCGGCCCCGCTGCCCCGCCCGCCCCGCCCCGCCCCGCTCCCGAATTTATCTTATCAAGATCCGGGAGTTTTTGCTGCCACTGGGGTTTGAACCGAGGCACCTGCCGAGCCATGCGCGTGCGTAAGTAGCCTCATAACACACTCGCCACAGTGTGTCCATGGTTCTGTAGCACAGCACACTCGTGTTGAAGAGGTGCCGTGTTGGCTATTTACCCCCCCCCCCCGACAGCGAGCAGTGAGCAGCAGCGAGCAGTGAGCAGCAGCGAAGTTGCTATTTACCCCCCCCCCGTGGCTGTTGCTACCTGTGCACGTGGCCATCTCCACAGCCACGTGGCAGCCTGTAGTGGGACTGAAGACCCCCCTACTTAGGGGGCTGCTCTACAGTGGAGAGGGCCTGCTCACACAGCAGACCCTACATCTGGACATCTGCAGAAGTGTTGCTGGGGGCTGATCAAGATCTCAGCCCCCCCTCTCTCCTCCAACTGGCTGCTGCAACAAAGACCAAGACCCTCCTGGTCTTGGTGTACCTTGTGCCCTTGGAGACACCAAGGGTCAGGTATCACTCCATTCTCCCCACTCCCTTCTCCCCTCTCCCTCTAACTAACCCACTCTCCTCTTATTCACCCCTTCTCTTTCCCCCACCTTCTACTGCATCTTTTATCTCCTCCTCTTATCTTCCCCACCCTACCTTTCTCCCACCACCCATTCTTTTACTCTATTTTCTTCATCTCTTCTTTTCTTTCTTTCTTTTCTCCTTCCTTCTTGATATCTCTCCACCTTTCTCCATCCCTCCTTTCCCGGTCTGAATCTCCACCTTTCTTTTCTTTCTTTCTTTTTCTCGAGGATCGCTTCGGAACCCGATATGACGTGACTGACGCCTTCGAGCGTGTCGTTATTACACGCTGGTCCGGCTCTGGTGGCGCTGCCGGTCTGGATCGCCACATCCAAGTCTTTCAGGACGCCCGCCTCGTTTGTGACGTGGTGTTCCTTTCCGAGGCTGCCCTTATCGATCGTTTCTTGGCCAGCCTCCCGCTCGAATACCGCTCCGAGCTATGGAGGTACGAGTTCACATCGGCCCCACAGGCTTACGAGGCCGCCAGGGACCATCAGCGGATGCGAGCCCGTCTTCACCCCGCCTCCTCCTCCCAGCCCCAGCGCATGGGTTACGCCTCCTCCTCCTCTCACGGCACTTCCCAGCTTCGTTCCCCTTTTCGTGGTCGCCCCGCCGTTCCACGCAGCAGGACCGTCACTTCTCACGCCGCTTCAGCGCGCTGGAGTATGCTGAGCAGGACGCTGTTGCCCCACTGTCACCTGAGGGCGACCACAGCGACGACCTCGATCTCTGCGAGGTCGTCCACTATCACTTGGAGGACTCTACCCTCCCTGCAGCTGAGTGCCTTCAGCTCGCGCTCTCCGCCCTCTCTCGGGCACGCAGCCGCCCCGATCACGCTGGCACGTCGCCCCCCGAGGTCCCTCAGGATGACCTCCCTCAGGGCTTCGTCCCTCCTGGTGGTGTCCTTTCCCCTGAGGAGCGCGCGGCCATTCTGGGCCGGCGTGGGTGTTTGCGCTGCCGCTTGGACGGTCATACCTCCTCGCGGTGCCCTTACACTACTGCCCTCGACCGCCACTACGCTGACCTTTCTCGTCAGCGTCGTGCTCAGTCCCCCCCCGGCGCCTCACGTCCCCGCGGCTCCTCCTAGCCACGGTGCAGTGTACACCTGCGCCCTCCTCAGTAGTGGGCTTCCTGACATCTCCGTCGTGGTTCGCCCCTCTCGCTACTGGGGTTGAGGTATCGCAGGACTCGACAGAGTGTACTCAGCCCTCTGTCGCAGTACCGTCTGCGCTTCCTCAGACCACCGTCTCCCCTCCTTCCCCGCCGCGACTACCGACGCGTCGAGCCATTCGCTCAGCCCATTGCAGCGAGCAGCTCGCTACTCGCGAGGACGTTGTGTCCTCTCTTCTGGACTTGAGCATGCTTCAGGCTCGTCAGGAGCGACTCACCCTCCATGTCGCTGCACTGCGGCACCTTCTCGCCATCCTCTCTGACCCTGATCGCACCCTGTCGATCATCCGAGTACGACTCGGAACCTCCACGAGGGTGTACTCCGCGCTGTGGGATTTCGGTTCTCAGGGCGACTTCATTCACCCACGCGTGGTGAAAGAAGCTCGTTTACCCACGACAGGGTCTCCAACTCCCATTTCCGTTACCCTAGGGGATGACAAGACCCAGCGCTTCTTCGATCAGACGGTCACCGACCTCCCTTTCTTCCTCACTCTCGAGACGACTGATCGTTCCCCGGTGTCTCGTCGCCACCGCTCCTCTGCACATTTCGATGTGATGGAGACAGGGTACGACTTCATTCTCGGCACTCCGTGGTCTCGTCGGTTCCGCAGCACCGAGGCCGATTGGGCGACCAACACTCTCGTTCTCAAAACAAAGTGTGGACAGACGTATCACGTACCTTTCATCGGTACCACTGCGACACCACGCCCCGATCCTCCTTCCCCGGAGCCTTCCGTGCCCACACCATCTCCTTCCATCACTGTCACCTCGCCTCGGCAGTTCGCCCACTTCATCCGACAGGACAACGTCACCTTCTTTATGGTGGACGTGACGGATCTCTTACACTATGATCCACCTTATCCTGACGCCGAGCTCATCCCTCTGGAGCTTGATCCTCCTTCTATCTCTATGGCTCCCATCTCTACTTCCGTCCCCCCGCCGTCCGTCGAGTCCACTCCGCCGTCGCGCGCTGACGCTGACGCTGAGGAGCTCGCACGATATACGGCTGACCTGGAGCCCGCAGTTCATGACCTCATCCGAGAGTACCACGACGTTTTTCCATCGTCGTTCTCGTACGTCGGCATCCCACCGATGTGTGACGTCGAGCACTCCATTCAGCTTGTGCCTGACTATCGTATTCACCACCAGACACCCTATAAACTTTCGATCCCCGAGGCCACCAAACTCAAGCGTCAGCTTGTGGAACTCTTGAGATTGGGTTTCATTAAACCCAGCAACTCCCCGTGGGGTGCACCCGCCCTCTTTGCTCACAAAGCGGATGAAACCCTTCGTCTCTGCATCGACTACAGCGGTCTCAACCGCTACACGGTTAAGAACAATTACCCCATGCCGCTACCCCATGGCCCGCCCCCACATCCGCCAAGCAGCTTCGCAGCTTCCTAGGCCTGACCAGCTACTATAGTAATTTCATCCGGGGATACGCTACATATTCCTACGTCCTTACCTCCACCCTCCTCCGGAAGAACCCACCCTGGGCTTGGACACCCCTCCACGAGGACACCTTCCGCGCCCTCAAGAAGGTGGTGACATGCGCACCGGTTCTTCACCTACCCGATTTCGATCGCCCTTTTATCCTTACCACCGATGCATCAGACTTTGCTGTAGGAGCAGTGCTTTCTTAGGTCTTCCCCTCCTCTCCTGATTCCTCTCATCCTCGTATCCCTCGCTTCCCACCACCTACCCCTACCACCGCTTCCCGATTGACGCCTACTCGTCCAGCTACTGACGAGCCTTCTATTGACTATTCTCATACCATCGCCGAGGACGGCACTGTCGAGTCTCGCTCAGGTGATTGTCCGATAGCCTTCTACTCCCGTCAGCTCCTGCCCGCCGAGATAAACTACACTGCTGATGAACGTGAGGTTCTCGCAGTAGTTTATGCCGCTCGGCACTGGCGTCACTACCTGCACGGGGTACCGTTCACGGTGCGTACGGACAGACTTTTCTGACAAAACCGAAGCTCACTCCTCGACAGGCTCGCTGGTGGCGCGACCTATCCGAGTTTAGTTTCACCACTGAGCACATCAAGGGTGAGACTGATCAGGTCGCAGATGCCCTATCCCGGCGCCCTGACCACGATCAGGAGCCCATCCAACTCTCTTCCATCTCGGTCACCACCGTCCACCACTCGGTGATCGACGAGTTTCGCACTCAGCACCGTTACTGCCCCGAATATCGCGACATCCACGCGACCCTTCGGAGTGGCAAGACCGTCCCGAACTACTCTCTCGGGGACAACGGTCTTGTGTACTAGCACGGTTCACAGGGCACCAGAGAGCCCCATATTTGCATTCCCTCCACTGGACAGCTACGTGTCCGAGCAGTAGCAGAGTTCCATGACCAGGCAACCGCCGGTCATATGGGCTTCCACAAGACGTTGGCTCGTGTGAGCCGCCTGTACGTCTGGCCGAAGCGCAAGAACTTTGTGAAGGACTACGTCGCAGAGTGTCCCACCTGTCAGGAGGTGAACAGTGCGAACCACCTACCATTGGCAGTCCATCTCGATGGACTTTATCGCTCCTCTTCAACCTCTGACCCCCCCCGGTCATGATGCTATCCTGGTCGTCGTCGACCGCTTCACGAAGCGTGCACGCTTTGTTCCGTGCCGCTATGCTATCAGTGCACGTGAGGTCGTCGACATCGTGTTTGACCGAGTCGTGCATGACCACAGCTTACCTCTCAGCATCATATCTGACAGTGACCTGCGCTTTACCAACCGATTCTGGCGACGACTCTACGAGGTATATGACACTCAGCTCCGCTTCTCCTCATCTTACCATCCTCAAACTGATGGTCAGACCGAGATCACGAACAGGACTCTCGGAGATATTCTCCGAAAGATTATTCGTGACGACCAGCAGTGGGACCTTCATCTTGCCCACGCGGAGATAGCCTACAACCACGCTGTCTCGCCAACCACGGGGATGTCGCCTTACTATTGCGACGTCGACTATCACCCTCGTGTTCCCGCGGACTTCCTTCGACCGTCACAGATGCACCCCGACACGAGTTGTCCCGCGCTGGATGATTGGGTTGCACACATGACGTCGATCATGAAGACCGCACATGAGCACATATCCGCTTCCCAGACTCGCATGGCAGCACGTGCGAACCGATCGAGGATGGATCATCCATTCAAAGTCGGTGATGATGTGCTTATCGACGCCCGCCACTTACAGCTCGAAGCGGAYACGCTTCGCAAGTTTCGCCGTCACTTCTTTGGTCCATGCCGCATCCTCCAGGCCGTCGGTTCTGATACGGCTTCTAGCCCGGTCAGCTTCCGTGTGCTGCCCGACTACCTACGCCAGACTCGTGTGCACGATGTCTACCACGTCTCGTTACTGCGTCCTTATCGCAGACCGTCTGAGTGTTTCGCCGGACGACCATACSAGCGCCCTCCACCCATCATGGTGGACGGTCACGAGGAGTTCCTCGTTTCATACATCATTGGTCGCCGAGTCACCGACAACAACCCTCCCCACGTCGAGTATCTTGTACGTTGGAAGGGTTACCCTGATGAGGAGGCTACCTGGGAGCCCCTCGAGCACTTGCAGCACGCTTGCATGTTGGTGCGTGCCTATGACCGTGCTCGTCGTGCTGGGTTCACTGCTCCTCCTCAGCCCACTGACCCTCCTCCTTCTCCTCCGGCTGAGGAGACCACTGAAGTCGAGCCTGCTCCATCTGAGGCAGACCTTCAGCAGCAGCCGGATGCTTCTGAGTATCCATAGCGCACTCGTCGTCGTCCTGCTCGATACGACGATTGACTCTGACTTACCTTCCCACGTCTTTGACTTCTCAGTACTCCATCCACATCCGTTTTGCTACTTCAGCTCGTCGACGCTGCGACTCTTCCTCGACGGCATTCCGGACTTCTCATCGTGGACGTCATAGGCAACTTTATGGACTTCGTCACGATCAGCTCTGCCTACTTCAGACGTCGCCACTCTCTGACCACTTTACCCTGTACAGTACCCTGCTTGTGTCGCATGATGGTCTCCCTTTAGCCGGGTTCCTCTGAGTTGGGCTCTCCCTTGGTATACGCATAGGCATCGGGACCGTAGCGTTGCCCTGGCTTCCCACCTTACGGATCTAGCTCCGACTTCCTTCACTTTAGGAGTCATTTGCATGATTCTCTTACCCCTTATCTTTCTACCCTTTGTCGACCCTCACGCCCTAGTTAGGCAGCCTCGCATGCTTCATCTAGGTGCGCCGAGTATACCAGGCTCCCTTGTTCCCTTGCATGGTCGACCCTCCATAGCGGTCACCCCTTAGTCGAGCATTACCCGCCCTGATGGTCTATCTGTTAGGGTCATTGGTTCTGTTCGCTCCYAGTTCCCTACCCTCATTGAGCCTGATGACATGTGTTTTCCCCTGTCACTATGTGTGKATGCCCTTAGGAGTTTTCGACCCCTAGGCTGCATTCGCCACCCTCAGAGACCACCCCACCCTTTGGTTTGCGACACACTTCTCATGTGACATATGGTTGTCTTGTTGATTGCTCTGTTGCTCTCAGACTGAGGCTATTGCCTCCGACATTTCTAGGATTTAGTTGTTATGCTTTTGCTGTTCTTAGGACTTATACACTAGTCAGTTGTTACCAGACTGAGGCTAGTGCCTCCAACATTCTAGGATCTAGTTGTCACTACTTTCTGCTTTCCTAGGACATGTATGCTAGTTAGTTGCTTTTGCTTTCCTAGGACATGTATGTTAGTTAGTTGCTTCTGCTTTCACTTAGGCTGTTAGCTGTGACATTGCTGTTTTGTGACATTTTATATCCTAGGTTGCATCGCGTGGACTCAGCATGGAGCTTGCTCCGCATCCTAGACTACTCAGGTTTTCTTTTCTTTGGTAGAGTTCCGCTTCTTGGCGGAAGCATGTTTGTATCTAGGCGATCCATCACAGGCCTGTGAGATCAGCCTCTTGGCCTGTTCTCACAGGCCTGTGTTGTATTCGGGGTAGGCCAGTCCAGGCCGGCACCTCTGTCGGTACCAGCCAGTCCAGTCTAGTCCCGTCAGTCCGTTGGGGTATACCCCAGCTATTGTCTGTTATCAGGCTCATTCTTCACTTGCACATTTTGGAGTACGTGCATTGGAGTCTTGCGTGGGGAGCTGCGTTGTGCCATCTCGCCCCCCCCTTCTTCCTCCATCTCCATCTCTGTCACTAGCGGAGCACCACACCTGGTGGGTCCGCTACAGAACCGGTCCCCGGGCAGAAGTGGACCCCAAAAAGAAGTTCGTTGGACCGCTCCCCGAGTAGACGCGGACCACAAAAAGAAGTGAGGGCATGTGAACTGCAAAACGACCCTCAGGCCCAGGCATTGAGGCCCGTCTTCTCAAAACAGGGAGGTTAGGCACAACAAAATAGGCGTTTTGCAAGAGACAACTTTGGTGATTTTCTGTGCTCGGACGAACATGCACAAAAATTTGAAATTTTGAGAATCCATAGATGAGGTCGTGTTCTTTCATAAATAATAATAGAACATTTACAAAAAATCATTTACACTGCGAAATAATTGTCGCGCCGATTCGACACATTTTCCATTTTTGCCACTCAGCCATGCCTGGACCAACTAAAAAAGTACTCCAAATTCAGTGAGTTTTCATGCTCAGAAGAATGAGTGAAAAAACCTAAAAATTGGAGTACTCGTAGATTTTGTTGTGATCTTTCCAGGAAAAATGCTAAATAAATTTTTAAAAATTATTCCAACTGCAAAATAGATCGCGGCCGCAATTTGACCCATATTTCAATTTTGTCACTCTCTCTCTCTCTCTCTCTCTCTCTCTCTCTCTCTCTCTCTCTCTCTCTCTCTCTCTCT